CCATATCACCGATTGTCTCCAGCCACTGGTTTTTACGGTCCCGATGACCCCAATCAGTCAGGAACTCTGCACCTCCCTACGTGATTGTCTGGGTTAAAATAACTGTTGTGGATTTTATTGACTGGTGCCATGTCTTAGTTTGACCACCACTTGCTCCTTCCCAGACTGATCTTATGTCAGTACTAACTGTAGTACGGGAGTAAGGTGATATGGGTAAAGGAGAATGATGCTCGAGGAGGCTTCGTGTGCTCTTGGAAGTGTGTGGGTGGTTGTTACTTCCTGGCTGCCCACACCGTGGAAGTTGGTTGATTCTTCGGGTACCTGAAACATAAAGAGGGTTAGTGTTGCGTGACTGCAGAGCCCAGAGTACAACTGCTTGAGGCCGCTCACACACGGCCTGTATGAGCTGATTTCTTGGAATGGTTCCGTATTAGTAAACTTACCGCCGGTTACGGACCACGGTAGGGCAAGTCGGGATGTACAATTGTTGGGGTCGACTTTCTCTAACCCCCTCCATCCATAGTGGACAGACAGCATAGCTGGCATGCTGGTCATCTGAGGGAAACACCTTACCGCTGTTACATTCCTGTTTCCCAGCAGTACGACTTCGCGCAGAGACCCCCAGTGTAGTGCAAAAATATTCTTACACTAAGCCAATGACTGCCTTTAGTCTAATCGCTATCCTAACAAACTTCCTGGCATAGTAGGACCTGCAGGAAAAATAGTTCCAGCCAGTGTAGCTCGTTGGTTCATTGCGATAGGTAGCAGCTATCGGTCGGGTTTTCCTGATTTTGTTTTCTCCAAACGTTTTGTTCTATTTGTACCACGTAAGCCATATAATTTTCTTCTAATTATGAAAGAAATTTAGTATTCTTTAGTAAAATGTGCCACATGCGATACTCCATTTCCCGCAACAAGTACGCAGTCCTAACGTCATTCTGAGGCGAATAAAACCTGAACAATTCTTACAGTCATTCTAGTTCACCCGATTTCGGTAAGTATTTCAAAAGCCAAAGGTATTAAATCTCTTTGTGGTCCAATAATTGTTTACACACGATGATATTTTTCGTTCTGTACGAAGCATTACCGAAGTAAAATACCTATCATTGTGTGTAAATAACCACTGGAAGAAATACAATTATAAATAATTGATCTATTCCACGATGCACAAATATCAAACAGACAGCAAGAAGTATGTTTATAAGTTATGCAAATGTGAAACGCTATAGCTATTCAGAAGTTTGAACAAGTTTATTTTGTTGTATTATCATAACCTGGAAATATTATATATTTATGCTAATAATACTGTGGATATGTATTCAGTATTATCGTTATTGTACCCTTGGGTACTGAGTTGAACATAGAGCTCTGACAGCAGGTCTCCACTTGGCCCCATTCCCTGCGGTACTCTTTAGCTCGTCCCACGACTGTCCGTAATCTCTCATCTCCTCCTCCCACGATCTCCTCCATGTCACCCTCGCACCGACGACCCACTCGTCGCTTCCTATTTGGATTCCACTCGAGCGGTAGCCTTCAATGCTCGTGACATCATTCCACGGACTCCTCAACGTATGCGCTATCCATCTCCACTTTCTCCCAAATATTTGTTGAGCAATCGGCTCTTCGTTGGTTTGTTCCCAGCGAGAGTTTCTTTTTGCTAATTCTTCCTGGACAACCGACTGGCCATGTGATCGTCAGTACGGAGCCAGCCAGAGAATTGGGCAGCTGTTGATGAAAGTCTGCAACCTGTTGGAAATCATTTTCGTGACGCGCTGGCCAAGTTTCTGACTCGTATAGAAGAACTGACTGACTTCACATTTGTGTTGAAAATCCGAATCTTGTTGTTTGTGATGGCTGAGTGAGTGCAGAAGATTTCCCGACTGGTTTCAGGTTGGTGAAGGTGTATCTCGTATTTCCGATTCTGTCTGGTTTTGACACCCTTATCCATGCCGTGCGCTTGTAGTTGAAACAATGCAGCCTACATAGGTGGAAAGACTGCCCTTCCTCAAATTTATTCCGTTGATAATGATTAGCATTGGTTGTTGTTGCTGTTGGTTGGTTACCTTCATCACCTCAATATTGTCTATGTGTACTTGAAATGGTGTCTTTGCTGTTTATTCCATCAGCTCGTTGGTTTTCGCCTGTAAATCTTTGAGTCTGTGTGAGGTTCAACACAAATCATCCGCGCGCGAAATCCAGACCTTCTGGAGTCTTCTTATCGGTCCAGCGTATCCCTGTATTCCCTACAACCTGACTCATAATTCAGTCCGCTACAGTCAGGAATATCATCAATAGTTGTAGGCAGCCTTGACTTACTCCTGTCTTCACTTCAAACGCCTCACTGAGTTTTCTGTTGTGGATTATCCGACTGTCACGTAGCTTTTGAATGAGGTTGATGATGACTTGAGGTAGGCCATAGTATTGAATTAGTTTCCAAATTACTTCTCAGTCAACACTGTCTGCCGAAGCCCTTTTCGAAGTCGAGGTAGAGGTTTGACTGCCATTCTTTGCTTTGTTCGATGATGATGTATCGAGTTGCGATTTGATCAGCACATGATTTGCCTTCCCTGAATCCAGCTTGTTCCGGTTGGCAGAGTTCTGCATCCAGTGCATCTTTCATTGTCTCCAGGATGACACGACTTAGTATTTTGCTTGGTGTATGCAAGAGGATGTTTTCACGCCAGTTCTTGCGGATGGCTTTGATAAGTTAGGCTTTCATTCAATCACTGGGTAGATTTCCTTCCATCTATATCTTTTGGATTATTGGCTTGAGCTGTGGTTGTGTAATACACCTGAGAGTGAAATGGTATATTGAGATGTAATGGAGTATTATGGTAATTCCATTTCATAAATCTTACTCTCTCGGTAAATTTTGATAGAGAGAAAAAGACCAGATTTGCTGTGTGAAATGATGACATACTATTTTACAGGTTCTTATCAGCTGAAACTACCTGAAATTACAATGGTTATAAATAATGACGTTTCCTGCTACAATGTTTGAAAGATAATAAAGAAAACGTTATAATATTTTCTTTATATCCTCGAAAATCTGATCTTTCTTTGTCTATCGAAATAATTCCACTATTTAGTCTTGTATGTATTATATACAAAAACCTATGACTAAGAGGGAGAATACAGTAAAATGTCATTGCATAAATAATTTACGATTATGATGAACAAATGATAAGTTGAAATAAGATGCACATTACTATTTTTGATTGTCTAATCAATAATGGCAGTCGTAATGAAAGAGAAGTGGTGTTGAGAGTTATGGTTACAGTTGGGCTATGACAGAAATTAGCTTAATAATAATAATTCTTATAATAATGAACATGCTGGAGTACGCCCATCTGAGTTTTTTCATAGTACGTTACCCAATTCCATACTAATTTATTTAAGCTGATATACCTCAAATAATTGATGCGATCACTACTTTAAGACAATGTACGCTATATTCGTAAACTAAAACCGGGTATAATGTAGTTCTGTAGTATCATCTAAAATTTTATAAAAACAAAAACCAAACGCAATATACTCAGTTTTTTCCTAGGGTGTTCAGAAGACTCAGTATTTTATCAGTGTCTTTGTTCAACATTTTACATCGTTTTCATTCCATGATTTTTTACAGCACTTCTGGCAATCAGCTGATTCGTAGTCGTCTAGGTTAAGAAGAATCATTTACTTCAATTAATGATATAATTAAATAAGAATTTTAATAATGGTATGGGATGGAAACGTACGTTCTGGGTTACATTGTTGGTCACAAACAAAAAATTACTGTGAAGTTAAATTTTAAGCCAGTATTGATGCATCTATTCAAAAAGCTTTTATTCAAAAATTGAATACAGAAAAACCTATATACCTTACTGATGATAATATAATGGGTCATTTGTGTTTACTTAAGTTCACAAAAAAATATAAACCTATTATATTTCAGATGGTTTGCTGGCTTTCAAAAAACGAGGACACCACAATGAAGCTTCATCAGTCTTTTTCCGTTTGAAGAATCTTCCTATTAACAGAAATTAGATATAACCAAAACATGCTGGCTGCATTCCACTTTTAGCTGTATAGACTTTATGTGAAACGTTGAATAACTTGATTATAATATTCCCAATTAATTTACAAAGAATTATGGGTTTGAAGCATTTGAAGAGTATTAGTTCCTTCAGAAACAGAGATACATTTCACCCACCTGACACAACCATCTAACATAGCAATTATTAAAGCTTTCGCGGTGGTGAACTAGAACAGCTCGTAAAGAACTGTGACGTATATGTCTTGATAATTAGGAAAAAAATGAAAGTTTATCATAAAAACATTGAAATGGACAGACACAAGTGTCATTTAGGTTTATAATAAGACTGGACACATAAAACAACAACGTATATTGCTTCCCGCTGTTCTTACAGGCTTCAAACAGCATAAAAGTAATAGATTAAAAAAATATACTATGTGTGTATGTACTAATGAAATACAGAAGATTAAAATAAAACAATGATGATTGTTTTCACTACACTAAAATGTACTATGAACAGGGGAATTAACAAAATCAAAATGAGCCTAAAACACTAAACATATGTTCACTGAATCATAATACATTTTTGTCACTTGACTTAATAAAGATGTGACGACAATATAAGATTCAAATAAATAAATAAAAGTTCTAAAGAGAAAACATCAAAATGACATGCGAAAATTCAACACAGATTAGGAGATTGTAGACTTCAGTCGCTTTTTTCTTTTAAATACAAAATATGTGGTAAATGAAAATGACAGAAGGAAAAAACAGGGATATTGTAATGCATTCACAATAATTTTAAAGTGACAAACGATAAATACTTTTAATTTAGAGTCAATATATTCACATAATACACATTTAATTGTAAACAAAATATTTTAATTAGTAACAGAACAATTGTATGTCTCCTTTACTTTGGACCAAGTGTGTTGATGAATAAAAGTTTATGAAGTACTTTTTAATTTCTGTAGCAGGTTCTCTATGAACTCCTTTAAAATAAACAAAAAAATAAATTAAGGAGAAGTGAGAGGTATTCATTACTCAAACAAAGTGCTTATGAGTTAGATTAGTAGCTTGCATATCATGTGAAAATCGAAAAGTTCAGCTGAGAATCACCTCGAATGATTGATCAATTTCATTTACAGATTTCTTGTTGGTAGGTTTTGTAATATAAATCGTGAAATTCTTAACAGATTCTCATTTCTGGCGCAAATAAAATAAATTAACTAGAACAGGATGAACAATATGACTGAACACAAGTTACTAAATGAAGTATACATTTGGTGTACTAAACGTTGAAATAAGCATCTCGACCCATGGAAAATTTCAAATTTCAATTCATTAGAATACCATAAGCAGTATACACAAACATAATTAATCCAGAATTGTCAAATACTCATTTGCATTATTCGGTCCTTATTGAGTATATTTCTTTTAGTGTGACTGTTGTCAGGCAAAACCATATTTCTTAGAGTTTATCACCACCTTCTTAGCTTTATGACCGCGTTCGAGACATAAATATCCCAAAGTCGAATCCCCACATTGTACGGACTTGAAGGCATAAGTTGAATATATTCAGACCATACCTTTTAGTGCAAACAGCTTTATTTTATAGTTCAAGTATTATACTACATATATATATAATTTAAGTGAGTCTGTGGAGACAAAAGTGCAAAAATATGGATAATAATGTGAATTCAACCTTGCCTAGATAACTAGCTTGCTAGTCTTCTAGCCCGGCCCAAACCCTGGTAAAGAGGGAGGGTTGGGCTTTAGGCTTGCGACCGTACTCCGGAAAACGAATTAAACTACCACACAAACTTCACTGTACAAGAAAAATATTAAAAATAAATTTATTATTAACTGAAACCGGAGGGGTGAAATGACGCCATGGGCTGGTGAAAGCCATCGGGAAGCCAGTCACCCGGTGTGTCCTCTCTCCATGAAAGCGCAAATAAGAATGGGGCGATGGAATATCCGTACGATGTACGATACAAATAAGGCTTCCGAGGTAGTCAAGGAAATGCAAAGATACTGCTTACAAGTGCTGGGTATCTGCGACAGCAGATGGAATGCTTCTGGATTATCAAAATTGTCAACTGAAGAGTCATTAATCTACTCCGATCTGGTCACCCAGACGACAACCACGAGCACTCTGAGGCAGTGAGCGGCTATAATGATATCAACAGTGGCAGCCAAAGCCCCAATGCAGTAGGAACCAATCTACTTCTTCAGGACTCTGCCATCAAGATTCAACTCAAAAGGCGAGAAGGAAAGTTACGATTATTCAGTGCTACGCACAGTACTAAAAACAATGTGGAGCAAGAGAAGAAGGAAGAAAATTGCAGACAACTACAAACAGTAATGGACAACATCCCATATGTTGACATCGAGACCCTCGTGGGCTAAATGAATGACAAACTGAAAGCAGCTAATACAGGAAAATAACTCATCATGGGTCGAGAGGCTCTCGGAGAAATGATCGAGGGCGGAAAACTATTCGCAGACTTCTGCGCTTTCAGTGATTCGGTGATAGGAGGTGGCGTTTACAGGCACAAGGATATACACGAAGCAACATGCATTTCGCCTGACGAACATGTCACAAACTAGACAGACTTCACTTCAATGCTGCTCATGGAAGTGGAGATGCAGCCTGCTGGATACAAAGATGAAAAGGGGAGCAGATGTTGGCTCAGGTCATCATCTAGTTTAAGGATTCCTCAACGTGAAGCCGGAATCCTTCGGGACAAATGGAAACAGGCCACTGCAATTCAAGCTAAACATTCAGGAACTGAAGGACGAAACTACAAGATATACCTTCACTACAAACAATATCAGAGGAAAGTCGGGGACACTACATGGTATCACTGAGGAAACCTGCCTAGGAGAATTTAGCAAATCTTTGAAGCTGATGTTCAAGGAAACGTGTACAACTGTTCTAGGAAGAAAGAAGAGACAATATAAGGAATAGCTCTCAACCGACACCTCCCTGGAAACTAATGGAAGAGAGGAGAGCAACATGGTGAAAGAGAAGATGACTCAATGCAACGATAGGTTACAGAAAGAGGAGCTGAGTTCAGTGTACACTGCACTGAATGAAGAAGTGAAGAAAAGCGCCGAGGAAAACAATTCTGCGAAAGACTCGCAACTGAAGCGGAAAAGGCTGGTCGCAGGTAAAAGAGACCTAAAGATAAACAGGTCTCTATCCGGGAAGAGATCAACATAAATGATGAGACCAATAAAGGATGTTCAAGGGAACCTGATTACCAAGGAGTAAAAACAAATAAAACAATGGGTTGATCACTTTCAAGGACACTTGAATTGACCATCACCTGCAATTTTCTCAAAAATACCAGCAACAGCACGCACAGAACTTCCTCCCAATGGACACCACTTCACACATAAAAGCAGAAGTCTTGAAAACTATAAAGCTAGTGAAATCGTGGGAGGCAGCAGGATCGGACGGAGTTCCCCCTGAAGCACTGGAAACTAACTCAGATACCTCATGCCTATATTGCAAAACAATTGCATGAAAAGACAGCTACCCACTGATTGAATGAAAGCCTAAATTATCCAACTACCAAAGCAGGGAAACCTTGTTAGGCATCTGAAAGAACTGGTGTGGAATCATCCTCTTGCATACACCAAGCAAAATACTAAGTCGTGTCATCCTGGAGACAATGAAAGATGCACTGGATGCAGAACTCTGCCAACCGGAACAAGCTGGATTCAGGGAAGGCAAATCATGTGCTGATCAAATCGCAACTCGATACATCATCATCGAACAAAGCAAAGAATGGCAGTCAAACCTCTACCTCGACTTCGAAAAGGGCTTCGGCAGACAGTGTTGACTGAGAAGTAATTTGGAAACTAATTCAATACTATGGCCTACCTCAAGTCATCATCAACCTCATTCAAAAGCTACGTGACAGTCGGATAATCCACAACAGAAAACTCAGTTAGGCGTTTGAAGTGAAGACAGGAGTAAGTCAAGGCTGCCTACAACTATTGATGATATTCCTGACTGTAGCGGACTGAATTATGAGTCAGGTTGTAGGGAATACAGGGATACGCTGGACCGATAAGAAGACTCCAGAAGGTCTGGATTTCGCGCGTGGATGATTTGTGTTGAACCTCACACAGACTCAAAGATTTACAGGCGAAAACCAACGAGCTGATGGAATAAACAGCAAAGACACCATTTCAAGTACACATAGACAATATTGAGGTGATGAAGGTAACCAACCAACAGCAACAACAACCAGTGCTAATCATTATCAACGGAATAAATTTGAGGAAGGGCAGTCTTTCCACCTATGTAGGCTGCATTGTTTCAACTACAAGCGCACGGCATGGATAAGGGTGTCAAAACCAGACAGAATCGGAAATACGAGATACACCTTCACCAACCTGAAACCAGTCGGGAAATCTTCTGCACTCACTCAGCCATCACAAACAACAAGATTCGGATTTTCAACACAAATGTGAAGTCAGTCAGTTCTTCTATACGAGTCAGAAACTTGGCCAGCGCGTCACGAAAATGATTTCCAACAGGTTGCAGACTTTCATCAACAGCTGCCCAATTCTCTGGCTGGCTCCGTACTGACGATCACATGGCCAGTCGGTTGTCCAGGAAGAATTAGCAAAAAGAAACTCTCGCTGGGAACAAACCAACGAAGAGCCGATTGCTCAACAAATATTTGGGAGAAAGTGGAGATGGATAGCGCATACGTTGAGGAGTCCGTGGAATGATGTCACGAGCATTGAAGGCTACCGCTCGAGTGGAATCCAAATAGGAAGCGACGAGTGGGTCGTCGGTGCGAGGGTGACATGGAGGAGATCGTGGGAGGAGGAGATGAGAGATTACGGACAGTCGTGGGACGAGCTAAAGAGTACCGCAGGGAATGGGGCCAAGTGGAGACCTGCTGTCAGAGCTCTATGTTCAACTCAGTACCCAAGGGTACAATAACGATAATACTGAATACATATCCACAGTATTATTAGCATAAATATATAATATTTCCAGGTTATGATAATACAACAAAATAAACTTGTTCAAACTTCTGAATAGCTATAGCGTTTCACATTTGCATAACTTATAAACATACTTCTTGCTGTCTGTTTGATATTTGTGCATCGTGGAATAGATCAATTATTTATAATTGTATTTCTTCCAGTGGTTATTTACACACAATGATAGGTATTTTACTTCGGTAATGCTTCGTACAGAACGAAAAATATCATCGTGTGTAAACAATTATTGGACCACAAAGAGATTTAATACCTTTGGCTTTTGAAATACTTACCGAAATCGGGTGAACTAGAATGACTGTAAGAATTGTTCAGGTTTTATTCGCCTCAGAATGACGTTAGGACTGCGTACTTGTTGCGGGAAATGGAGTATCGCATGTGGCACATTTTACTAAAGAATACTAAATTTCTTTCATAATTAGAAGAAAATTATATGGCTTACGTGGTACAAATAGAACAAAACGTTTGGAGAAAACAAAATCAGGAAAACCCGACCGATAGCTGCTACCTATCGCAATGAACCAACGAGCTACACTGGCTGGAACTATTTTTCCTGCAGGTCCTACTATGCCAGGAAGTTTGTTAGGATAGCGATTAGACTAAAGGCAGTCATTGGCTTAGTGTAAGAATATTTTTGCACTACACTGGGGGTCTCTGCGCGAAGTCGTACTGCTGGGAAACAGGAATGTAACAGCGGTAAGGTGTTTCCCTCAGATGACCAGCATGCCAGCTATGCTGTCTGTCCACTATGGATGGAGGGGGTTAGAGAAAGTCGACCCCAACAATTGTACATCCCGACTTGCCCTACCGTGGTCCGTAACCGGCGGTAAGTTTACTAATACGGAACCATTCCAAGAAATCAGCTCATACAGGCTGTGTGTGACCGGCCTCAAGCAGTTGTACTCTGGGCTCTGCAGTCACGCAACACTAACCCTCTTTATGTTTCAGGTACCCGAAG